ATTCTGTGTCCCTCAGTAACAATTCTGTCTGTCCCTGAGTAACAATTCTGTGTCCCTGAGTAACAATTCTGTGTCCCTGAGTAACAATTCTGTGTCCCTCAGTAACAATTCTGTGTCTGTCCCTGAGTAACAATTCTGTGTCCCTGAGTAACAATTCTGTGTCCCTCAGTAACAATTCTGTGTCCCTCAGTAACAATACTGTGTCCCTCAGTAACAATTCTGTGTCCCTCAGTAACAATTCTGTGTCCCTCAGTAACAATTCTGTGTCCCTCAGTAACAATTCTGTGTCTGTCCCTGAGTAACAATTCTGTGTCCCTCAGTAATAATTCTGTGTCCCTCAGTAACAATTCTGTGTCCCTCAGTAACAATTCTGTGTCTGTCCCTGAGTAACAATTCTGTGTCCCTGAGTAACAATTCTGTGTCCCTCAGTAACAATTCTGTGTCCATCAGTAACAATTCTGTGTCTGTCCCTGAGTAACAATTCTGTGTCCCTGAGTAACAATTCTGTGTCCCTGAGTAACAATTCTGTGTCCCTCAGTAACAATTCTGTGTCTGTCCCTGAGTAACAATTCTGTGTCTGTCCCTGAGTAACAATTCTGTGTCCCTCAGTAACAATTCTGTGTCCCTCAGTAACAATTCTGTGTCTGTCCCTGAGTAACAATTCTGTGTCTGTCCCTGAGTAACAATTCTGTGTCTGTCCCTGAGTAACAATTCTGTGTCCCTCAGTAACAATTCTGTGTCCCTCAGTAACAATTCTGTGTCTGTCCCTGAGTAAAAATTCTGTGTCTGTCCCTGAGTAACAATTCTGTGTCTGTCCCTGAGTAACAATTCTGTGTCTGTCCCTGAGTAACAATTCTGTGTCTGTCCCTGAGTAACAATTCTGTGTACCTCAGTAACAATTCTGTGTCCCTCAGTAACAATTCTGTGTCCCTCAGTAACAATTCTGTGTCCCTCAGTAACAATTCTGTGTCTGTCCCTAAGTAACGGTTCTGTGGCCCTAAGTAACGGTTCTGTGGCCCTAAGTAACGGTTCTGTGGCCCTAAGTAATGGTTCTGTGGCCCTAAGTAACGATTCTGTGTCCCTAAGTAACGGTTCTTTGTCCCTAAGTAACGATTCTGTGGCCCTAACTCTCTCCCTCAATACAGACAGGTCTGCCTCTCTTGAATGACTGGAGGCAAATGGAGAATTCTAAAATGGCCGCAATTTATAGCTCGACCATTACACAGTGCTGGCTGGCTGGCTGCTGATTGGCTAATGCGATCACATGTCATGAATGTGTCCCTCAGGGACACAGAATCGTTGAATTAAAGAGTATGTCAGACAACATGCAGAGGAGTGGCAGAGGAGGCAATGTTTTAGGAGCGAGCAGACGTGGCAGCAGAGGAAGGGGTCGAGGCAGCACTAGTCGCAGCCAGAGGCCAGTGCTCCCGGTGTCTTCCAGCGGTCGTGTCTCCACCGACAACCCTGCCGTCATCGATTGGTTGGCTCGGTCGTCTTCCTCTTCCCAGGTCACCTCTGACACCTACAGCCAACGGTCGGTGGGTACGTCAGACACAACCGTTAGTTGGCATGGCCCGGGAGCAAGCCCACTGAAATCACGTGTCCTCTACCTGCCCCTGTCCTTTGGTGTTCCCTCACCAAGCGAAGTATTGCATGCTGTGGGCTCAGCCCCACTGTACAGTGAGGAAGAGCTAACAGAGGGCGGTCAGGAACGGGGGGAGACATCCGCCTCTTCAGCAGCCAGGCGAAGAAGTACTGGCGAGGAGAGTGGCTCGGTAGCCGGTCTAGAGACAGGTCTGTCTCCTGACCCACACGCAGCCGAGGGGGCTAGTAGTGAGGCGGAGACCCTAATTGATGATGATGAGGCTGATCGCACTTGGCAGCCTCGTCGTCATCAGGCTATTGCTTCCGCATCATCAGGAGAAGAGGGTGCCAGCTTGGCAGCAAGCAAAACAGTCGGTGGGTTCCCCAGGAGGCAGCAGGGTCGCAGCAGTGTCAGTGGAGGCAAACGGCCACGGAGTAGAGCACCAGCTCCATTGCAGCCTACCACCACAGCCAGTAGTGGTGCCGGTGTGCACGGAGGAAGTAGCAGTCAGCCAGTGAGGAGTAGCGGGGGCAAAGTTTCCTACTCGGCGGTGTGGCAATTTTTTGTCAAGCCGCCCGAGGAAGTAAACGTAGCCATATGTCGACTATGTGGCCAGAAAGTCAAGCGTGGCCAGGGGGCCCATGTTTGGGACTACAGCGTTGCGTCAGCATATGCAGCGTCGCCATTTGGTGGCCTGGGAAAACCGTGATAAAAATACGGCGGTTCTGCCTGCCCCAGCCCCCGCTCCATCACCCGCTCCGTTACTTGCTCCGTCACCCGACGTCAATCGCCCTCTATCAGCCAGTCAAGGCTCCAACACCTCTGCTGAGGGGAGTTGTCGCTCGTTGGCATCTTCCGCTCGTTCAGATGCTCCTTCTCCTGCTACTCCTCTACACGGATTCCGTCAGCAGTCTTTCTTGGAATCCGTTTCCAAGAGACAACAGTTTGCGAGCACGCACCCGACGGTGCAAAAGCTGAACGTCCTCCTGTCCAAGTTGCTGGTGCTGCAGTCCCTCCCTTTCCAAGTGGTGGACTCAGCACCTTTCCGAGAAATGATGGCTTGTGTGCCGCGCCGCGGTGGAGAGTGCCAAGCCGTCATTTCTTCGCCAAAAAGGCAGTGCCAGCCCTGCATTCACATGTAGAAGAGATGGTGGGCCAGTCTTTGAGCATGTCGGTCTCTGCCAAAGTGCACGGCAGCGCCGACGTGTGGAGCTGTAACTACGGTCAGGGACAGTACATGTCATTTACGGCCCACTGGGTGAACGTGGTGCCGGCACAGCCGCACCAGCAACTTGGACAGGTCACGCCGCTTTTGCCTCCACGTTTGCACGTCCTTGGTCCACAAAAGATGTCCGCCTCTACCACCTCTTCTTCCGCCGTGTCCCAGCCGCCACCCCCGTGCCAAGTCCCATTACCCGACCGGCATATCACATGTGCAGGGCGCAACGGTGTCACTCTCTGCTGCACCTGGTATGCCTTGGCGAACGTAGTCACACAGGGGAGGAACTTCTGAGTATAATGAACAGAGAAATCGACAGATGGCTGTCTCCGCGCAAACTGAAAATCGGAACCATGTTGACCGACAACGGAAAGAACATGGTGTCTGCTCTGCGTCAAGGAAGGTTGTGCCATGCGCCATGCATGGCTCACGTGTTCAATCTGGTTGTCAAGCAGTTCCTAAAATCCACCATCCCACTGCAAGACATCCTTAAAATGTCACGTAAACTTTGCATGCATTTCAGCCATTCCTACACCGCAAAGCACACCCTCCTTGAGCTGCAGCGGCAGAACGGAATTCTACAGCATCGCCTGATCTGCGACGTTGCAACAAGGTGGAATTCAACCCCTACACATGTTAGACCGCCTTTACGAACAGCGAAAGGCCATCACCGATTTCCTGATGTTACAAGCGGATAAAGGTACTCCCCTGTGTAACTTCGATGTCAGCCATTGGCAGCTCATGCGTGACACCTGCCGCTTGCTCAGGCCCTTTGAGGAGGCCACGCTATTCGTGAGTCGGCAGGACTATGGGATGAACGACGTCATTCCTCTGTTGCACGTCCTTGAACAAATGCTGTTAACAATGGCTGGTCAGGGTGCGGTAGACGTGGCGCACAGATCTCAAAGCCACATGACCCCTGTGGGGGCAGGACAGGAAGAAGAGGAGGAGGTAGAGGAGGACATTTTGTGCTCAGGAATTATTGAGTGAAATGGGTGGTTTTTCCACTCAGCGGACAGGAGTGGAGGAGCAGGAGCATCTGGTAGAGGAGGAGGAGGAGACAGAGGACCCAGATGCACCGTGGCAGTATGCTGTGGAGATGGAGGCAGGGAGTCCCTCGCATTCCTTGGCACAAATGGCCCATAGCATGCTCGGTTGCTTGCGTAGCGACAGCCGAATAATAACCATCAGACAGAGGGATGACTTTTGGCTGTCCACCTTGTTGGACCCTCGCTACCGTTCAAAAATGGTGGCCTTTTTCACACCTGCTGAGAGGGAGGCCAAAATAACGTACTATAAAAACCACCTATGTAGTCAGTTGGTCTCTGCCTTTGTGCGCCAACGTCCATCCTCAGACACTGTGGCCCTGTGCGCTCGCGTTCCGCTGCCATGGCAGCAGGGGAGGGGTGGGGTGGTAGGAGCAGTGGCAGCTCCACCAGCAGCGGCTGCCTCAGTCCGCAGTCGATGATGAGTAGCTTTCTTCACCAGCGCAGTGAGGGAAACTACTAACCAGCCGCAGCAGCAGCAGCATCAGGTGGACCTGGAGCAGGACCTCAAACAACAGGCTTGGGCCTACTTGGACAGCACCCTGCCAACCGAGGTAGACAATCCCCTTGACTACTGGGCAATGAAACTTGACCTTTGGCCCCAAACTAGCTGAATTTGCCCTTGAAAGGCTGTCATGCCCGGCCAGTAGCGTGGCATCGGAGCGCGTGTTTAGTGCGGCAGGAGGTATTGTAACTCCGCGGAGGACACGACTGTCCACCCAAAGTGTGGAGAGACTCACGTTTGTGAAAATGAATCAAGTGTGGATTAGTCTGGATTTCAAACCACCAGTTCCTGACACAACTGACTAAATCCGCCATGAATCATGCCCCAAACATGTGCCACTTTCAGGTCTCCTCACACTGCTGGTGGGTTCCATTTTGTCATAGGGTGCTGGCAGATTACGGGCCTCCCATTGCTGCTGCCAGGCCTGTAATCTGCCATGGGCCCCTGTACCGCCTCCTCATGCTGCTGCCAGGTCCAGAGTCTCTCATGGGTCCCTGTACGGCCTCCCATTGCTGCTGTCTCCATCGCCACACTCTGCCATGTGCCACTTTCAGGTCTCCTCACACTGCTGGTGCTGTCCATTTTGTCATAGGGTGCTGGCAGATTACGGGCCTCCCATTGCTGCTGCCAGGCCTGTAATCTGCCATGGGCCCCTGTACCGCCTCCTCATGCTGCTGCCAGGTCCAGAGTCTCTCATGGGTCCCTGTACGGCCTCCCATTGCTGCTGTCTCCATCGCCACACTCTGCCATGTGCCACTTTCAGGTCTCTTCACACTGCTGGTGCTGTCCATTTTGTCATAGGGTGCTGGCAGATTACGGTCCTCCCATTGCTGCTGCCAGGCCCGTAATCTGCCATGGGCCCCTGTACCGCCTCCTCATGCTGCTGCCAGGTCCAGAGTCTCTCATGGGTCCCTGTACGGCCTCCCATTGCTGCTGTCTCCATCGCCACACTCTGCCATGTGCCACTTTCAGGTCTCCTCACACTGCTGGTGTGTTCCATTTTGTCATAGGGTGCTGGCAGATTACGGGCCTCCCATTGCTGCTGCCAGGCCTGTAATCTGCCATGGGCCCCTGTACCGCCTCCTCATGCTGCTGCCAGGTCCAGAGTGTCTCATGGGTCCCTGTACGGCCTCCCATTGCTGCTGTCTCTATCGCCACACTCTGCCATGTGCCACTTTCAGGTCTCCTCACACTGCTGGTGTGTTCCATTTTGTCATAGGGTGCTGGCAGATTACGGGCCTCCCATTGCTGCTGCCAGGCCTGTAATCTGCCATGGGCCCCTGTACCGCCTCCTCATGCTGCTGCCAGGTCCAGAGTGTCTCATGGGTCCCTGTACGGCCTCCCATTGCTGCTGTTTCCATCGCCACACTCTGCCATGTGCCACTTTCAGGTCTCCTCACACTGCTGGTGGGTTTAATTTTTGTCATAGGGTGCTGTATGGCCTCCCATTGCTGCTGCCTCCACCGCCACACTGTGGCTCCACACTCTGGTTTTGGCCCCGTGACTGCCCAAATGAGTGAAGTGTGCGGTGATTCTAAGATCGACGGCACTCATCTGCATGTCATACTGACTGACAGTATTATTTCTCTTCCCCAGCAGACTCCAAGGGCATTTAAATTAAAGGTACAGTGTTCTGCACTAATATAAAGGCTCTCTGAAGCCTAGAAACACCCTTTTATAAGTTAAATTCGCAGCGAATATATTCGCATCGAATCAAATTTATTCCTCGAATTCGCCGAATCAACCGAATCGAATTTTTGAATACTTCGCTCATCTCTATTTATGACATCTGGAGGTGTCAACACAGCACCGAAAAAGACTACTCCTATTACTCCCCTGCCCACATGTCCTACTCCAGGATTGATTTCTTTATAACAGGTAAGTGGACTTTACAACATGTAACGTCATCCAACATTGGCACTATTACATGGTCAGATCACGCTCCAATCAACATACTCCTGGACGACTCTCACCGCTCAGCGCTTCCTCCCATATGGAGACTGAACTCTACTATATTGAAGAATCCAGAAAATTTAAAACATGTATTAGATGCTCATAACCTATTTTTTGATCTAAATAACACACCTGACATTTCTATAACCACACTTTGGCCCGCCTATAAAGCATACATGCGAGGTATTCTCATACAACTCAACTCTCGAATTAACAAACAGAGATCTAAACAAATCGACCAACTCCTAGCTTCTATAAAACTAAACGAACAACTTAACAAACAAAACCCCAACACCACCACATCTGCATCCCTCACCTCGGATAGAAATCAGCTCCGAACCCTCTTACTATACAAATATGACCTTAATCTTCAAAAATCGAAATCACAATTTTACTTCCTCGGAAATAAAGCAAATTCTCTCCTGACAAAAATAATTAAACAAAAACGCCTCAAATCCAAAATTCCCTCTATATTACACCCAAATACTCGTACCTCACTCACAAATCCTAAAGACATAGCCGATGCTTTTGCAACCTACTACCAAGCCTTATACAACATCAGAGATGATCCAGACACACATCAACCAACAACAGAGTCCATACAAAAATTCTTAATTTCCACTGATTTACCCCAGCTCACTCCATCACAACTTACCTCCATCTCTACTCCATTCTCTTCCAGGGAAATAGAGGACTCTATAAAAACCTTACCCTTACACAAGTCCCCAGGGAATGATGGCTTTACCAACGAATACTACAAAACACTTGCTCCTCACCTTACGCCATACCTAGCTACTCTTTTTAACCATGCTGCATCTGCAGGTACATTTCCCAGTGAAATGCTCCAATCCATAATCACCACTATCCCCAAACCCGGCAAGGACCCCCAACTAGTTCAAAACTATAGACCGATCTCACTGCTGAATACAGATATAAAGCTCTACGCCAAATTGGTTGCCCGAAGACTGCTTCCCTACCTGCCGACGCTAATCCACCCAGACCAGGTAGGATTTGTCCCAGGTCGCCAAGCACCCGACGCAACAAGAAGACTCATCTCCCTTATTCACACATTAGAAAATAACAAACAACCCGCCTTACTTCTACCCCTCGATGCTGAAAAAGCATTTGACCGAATACAATGGCACTTTATGACACTTACGCTCCAAAAGTTTGGAATTTCGGATTGGATGCTATCGGCAATCCTTGCCCTCTACTCAAACCCCTCAGCGAGAGTACTAACCAATGGCACGCTTTTACAGGCCTTTCACATCTCCAATGGAAACAGACAAGGCTGTCCCTTATCCCCCATAATTTTCACCCTTCTTATTGAACCTTTAGCTTCTAAACTTAGAGAGGACTCGACGTTCACAGGGATCACCCATCTCAAAAAAGAACACAAAATAAGCTTATTTGCTGATGACATCATATTAATGGTTACAAATCCATACAAATCACTCCAAGCGATCCAATCTCATCTCCTACAATACTCAGAAGTATCATACTACAAACTTAACGCGCCCAAATCATCTATCTTAAACCTCAACATATCTACTAAGCTTCAGAAAATACTTAAGCACCGCTTTCCCTTCTCTTGGGAACACCAAAGCATCCCTTATCTAGGCATTAAACTTACCACGTCAACAGATCAGCTCTATGCCTTAAATCATAAACGACTACTTGATTCTATCCCACAAGAACTTAAAACTCTACATACATCCACATTATCGAAGCTAGGGAGAGTAGCCACTCTAAAAATGTGCATACTACCTAAAATTCTTTATATCTTCCGCACACTCCCTATACCCATTCCCAATATTTTCTTCTCTAAGATACAATCAGCTACAGTTGCAAGAAAAAGTATGTGAACCCCTTGGGATTATGTGGAGTTTTGCATGAATTGGGCATAAAATGTGCTCTGAACGTCATCTAAGTCACAACAGTAGAAGAACACAGTCTGCTGAACATAATACTACACAAACATTAGATGTTGCCATGGTTTAATTGCACATAACATGTAAACATTCACAGTGCAGGGAGGAAAAAGTATGTGAACCTTTGGACTTAATAACTGGTTGACCCTCCTTTGGCAGCAATAACCTCAACCAAACGTTTCCTGTAGTTGCAGATCAGACCTGCACAACGATCTGGAGTCATTTTGGACCACTCCTCTTCACAAAACGGTTTCAGTGTAGCAATATTCTTGGGATGTCTGGTGTGAATCGCTCTCTTAAGGTCATGCCACAGCATTTCAATTGGGTTGAGGTCAGGACTCTGACTGGGCCACTCCAGAAGGCGTATTCTGTGCTGTTGCAGCCATTGTTTTGTTGAATTACTTGTATGCTTTGGGTCATTGTCCTGTTGCATCACCCATCCTCTGCGGAGCTTCAGTTTGGCGGACAGATGGTCGTACGTTTTCCTGCAAAATGTCTTGATAAACTCTGGAATTCATTTTCCCATCAATGACAACAATCCGTCCAGGTCCTGAGGCAGCAAAGCAGCCCCAAACCATGATGCTCCCTCCGCCATGTTTCACAGCGGGGATGAGGTTTTGATGTTGGTGTGCTGTGCCTTTTTTTTCTCCACACATAGTGTTGTGTGTTCTTCCCAAACAACTCAATCTTGGTTTCATCTGTCCGCAGTATATTTTGCCAGTAGTGCTGTGGAACATCCAGGTGCTCTTTTGCAAACTTCAAACGTGCTGCAATATTCTTTTTGGACAGCAATGGCTTCCTCCATGGTGTCCTCCCATGTACTCCATTCTTGTTTAATGTTTTCCTTATTGTAGATGTGTCAACAAAAATGTTAGCCTGTGCCAGAGATTTCTGTAGGTCTTTAGCTGACACTCTGGGATTCTTCTTTACCTCATGCAGCATTCTGCGCTGTGCTTTTGCAGTCATTTTTACTGGACGACTACGCCTAGGGAGAGTAGCAACAGTGCTTAACTTTCTCCATTTGTAGGCAGTCTGTCTTACTGTGGACACATGAACATCAAGGCTTTTGGAGATACTTTTGTAACCCTTTCCAGCTTCATGCAAGTCAACAATTCTTGATGGTAGGTCTTCTGAGAGCTCTTTTCTGCGAGGCATGGTTCACATCAGACAGTGCTTCTTGAAACCAGTAAACCCAAAACAGGTGTGTGTTTTTTAAGGGCAGGACAGCTGTCAGCAACACATCCAATATCATCACACTGATTGGAGTCAACGTTGGCTCACTCCTGGCTCCAATTAGCTCTGGGAGAAGTCATTAAGCTAGGGCCTCACATACTTTTTCCTCCCTGCACTGTGAATGTTTACATGTTATGTGCAATTAAACCATGGCAACATCTAATGTTTGTGTAGTATTATGTTCAGCAGACTGTGTTCTTCTTTTGTTGTGACTTAGATGATGTTCAGAGCACATTTTATGGCCAATTCATGCAAAACTCCACGTAATCCCAAGGGGTTCACATACTTTTTCTTGCAACTGTATATCCAAATTCCTCTGGAACTCGAAGAAACCCAGGTGTACAACAAACTTACTTATACGCCCAATCTCTAGAGGAGGAGCAGGTCTCCCACACTTAAAATCATACTATAGTGCAGTACTTCTAGATCAACTCTATTTTTGGTGGCATCCAACTAACGAAAAAGCGTGGACTACTATGGAAACACTCCCACACCTTCCAACATCACCACGTGATATCCTGTTCTTACCACAATCCTCCCAACCCAAAATTATACACAAGCATCCTTGCGTCCAAGCTTCCATACAAGCCTGGTACAACCTTTTATCAATGACCTCCTCAGAATCAAAGGCAATCCTCACCCCAATCACAATACTTCATTATTTAACTCCCTCTTTGAACCTTCTGCAATGGGAAAGGCAAAATATATCTCATATACAAGACCTTTATACAAACCACAAACTAGATTCCTTTCTAACTATTCAACAGAAATTTCACCTTCCTAACAAAGAAATGTTTACTTATTTAAGAATAGCTCATTCCCTAAAAAAGACGGATATCCCTCTTCTATTGAAAATCCCTACAACTACATATCTTTTCCTCACCAAACCACAATACCCTAAGAAAGGAATATCGACCTTTTACAAGCTTATAACCAGTACATTGTTTCCCCTTCAAACCACTTCTTTATCTAACTGGGAAAAAATCCTCTCCCACCCAATACAACCCCACACATGGGAAAAACTTTTACTATCACACACAGAGCGTCCAGATGTAGCTCCCACTGGGAATCTTACATAAAAGTTTTGCACCAATGGTATCTCACACCTCTCAAACTCGCATTATTTTATCCCCAACATTCACCCGCTTGCTGGAGAAACTGTGGAGAAACAGGTTCAACCCTACATATTCTTTGGTCCTGCAAATCCCTAAGATCGTTCTGGAACAGTGTGTTTCAATTGATCTCTACCATTGCTGGGGCCCAAGTGGCGCCACACCCAGCCCTCGCTCTCCTACACATAGGAATCGAAAATTTTAGCATCGCATCCCATACTATCATCATCCATATATTAGCAGCCGCCAAACTCAATGTCACTAAACTCTGGAATTCTTCCAAAACCCCTTCTCTCTCTACCCTTATAACGGACCTGAACTTTCAGTGCGATATGGAAAGAAGATCGGCCTTTACTAATGACGCCTCTCACCATAAATTTTCAAACAATGGTCCTTATGGCTACACAACCCCAATTGCTCTATAAAATGATAACATACTCACAAACGAATAACATTACGACCCTATGTCCTAGACTGGTGCTTCCCCCCCCCCCAACCTCTGCCTCCCCCCTCCCTACCTTGTTCCAACTTATAAAACGTTTCTCTTCTACCTAACGGCTCACACTGAACAAATGACACGTTGATACACTGGCTAATTGTTTATATACCCCTGACCAATTGGTGGGGTTTTATCTCTTATCTCTTACTCCCTCATCTAAGTATGTATATATTCTATGGTGAACCGTACTGATCTTTGTACTGTGTAAAATCTTTCAATAAAAATCATTTGAAATAAAATTCTCAAAAGGCATTGTTTAGGGTCTAGAGTTAGGGTAGTTTGAAACATTGAATTAAGAGTGTTGATTTCTCCCTCCCAGTACAGATGACATTTCGGGCAAAGCCATAGCATGTGGATAAGATCCCCATGATTCTGTTTGCATCTACCACAAAGAGGGTCCTGGTGTAGCCCCATAGTACATAGTATAGCTGTTATATAGTGAACCCTTAGTAAGATATATAATTGTGTGATACGGTGAGAAATTGTCAGCAAGCTAAGTTGAACTGTCTACAATGCAGATTCCCATTGGTTTTTCTCAAAGGCCCCACATCTCGCTCGCCCTATTTGGGTGTCATTCTAAATAGTCTGTCAAAAAGCATGCTATAGAAGTGAGAAAAGATCCCCTTAGTGGTTGGGACTGAGTGCAAGTAGTTGAAAATAGGGGTGGGGGAAGAGTGCCATATGGGCCTTGAGCGGTAACTGCATGTTTTAACTGTATGTAATAGAACAGGATAGTGGATGGTAAGTTATAACTGGACTTTAAAGTATCAAAAGGTATGAGTCGACCATTGTTAAATATATATTTCAAGTGAGTTACCCCATAGGATTTCCACTTGGAGGCATATTGTTAAAGTGGACCTTTAATCAGAAAATTAAGTCTTGCTGGACCACTTCAGGTTGGCCCCTTTTGCAGGTATAGATATGTAAAAAAAAGAAAAAATAGTGTATATACTCTGCACATGCTCAGTTGCTCTCCATTTTAGACATTTGTAGGCATTGCTCAATTTGTAGAGGCCAATTTGCTGACAATCTTAAAGTGGAATTAAACCTTTCTATACTTTACAGCCAAAAAGGATGCTTCTGTTTGATCTCCAACGGCCATGTTGCTGTGATTAGTTATACATCAGTCATTTGATGGTTTGACAGTTTGGCTGAGGAAACAAGTAAATGTGACAGTTAGCAATCCTGGAATTCCAGGAATATAACTGTTTTTTTAAGCCGTTAAATTGATGGGTTTAGTTCCACTTTATGTTTTACTGCTATTCAAAGGCTCTGGGCTTCAGCAAAATGGCTGCCTCCAGCAAGAAGGAACTGGAACAATGCTAGAGGCAATTCCCAGCACACAGTAATTTTGGTAGCATAATTATTAATGTGGAATGCATGTTTCTTGCTAAAGAACATGATTTTTTTTCAAGTTGTTATGGGTAAAGTTCCGCTCAGGGGCGGACTGACCATTTGGAAACTCGGGCACTGCCCGAGGGCCCGGGGTCAGTAGGGGGCCCCATGAGATGCCCCTGGTACCTTTTTCATAGGCTTTTTTGAGTTTGGGCAAGGACACAGGGGCCCCATGATCCCCTATTGCCCGGGGGCCCCATGAGTTGTCAGTCTGCCCCTGGTTCCGCTTTAAGTTTGTGACTCTGTACTTAGAAGCTACCAATGGAATAACAGTTCAGCTTTGTTACAGTTCTTGTTCTCATCCTCCCAACACACCACTGTTGCTCCAATTCTCTGATCCATTACCTGGAAAACCCATAGCCCTCCTATTTGGGAGGTTGCCCACTTGAGTACTTTGACAGTGAGGAGTATACATGTGTGACTCATACCTAGAATTACCAGGTTTTCAGGATATTGAAATGGTTGGACATAATAACACAAAATAACGGGACTGATGGATAAGGAAAAACAGACAGTTTATTGTACCTTCCGTAGCACTGCACTGTCACTATCATTGCTTATGTTTAATCACACAAATGCTTAAGTTTATAAGTACTGTAAATTATGTGAAGCTGCAATATGTGTACATTGATTTCCTTTTACAAAAGAAGTAGATCACATCTTTAACAATCTACATTCCATTTTTCCTAATATTCTGCAGATTAGCCACAGGCTAAGAAATGTGACACAAGCAAATTGCAAAACGTCTACAGGCTATTTAACTTAAAATGTCTCAAACATGGATTTTAACGACAGTCATTCATTTCCAAAATGCAGAGACAATATATTACCTTCACCTCGGTTTTATTAGACAGAAATGTGTATGTATACATAATGATGACATTTCTAGTGCTGTGTAAAGAAACTCTTGGCTGCCCTTTCTTTTCTGTTTTAATGGAATTTAAAGCTGCCTATGTAGATAAGGGGTGCTTGTAGAAAAAAAATAAACTGTGCAGCTTGACTAAAGTTGAATAATGCCCTCGCTACAGGTGTAGGCTATTTACATACCTTCTGAAGCCTTGCTGGAAAACTCCCAGGGTGTTGCTAGATGAGGCATAGCCATCAGTGCTCACCTCCACCATCACAGGAATGAGCTCTCAGATGCTGAGCTCAGAGCTACTGTATCAGGAGAGAGAGAATGTGAGTGTAATGGAACCAACCCAGACTGCGCTTGAATACTTGTTAGAATACCGCTTCCCCGTCCGAACACTGACCACAGACACCACAGCTGACCATACAAGACTAGAAGACACAAGTCATGAAGTAAACCAGGAGGTAGACTAGTTTATTTGAACACAGATACAAGATATATACACTCAGGGGTCAATCCCCCCTCCCTGCATAATGACACAGGGAGGGGCAATCTACATTTAGTAACAAGAGACACACAGGTATTCAAACCTCACACCAGCAGACAGCCCCATCAGGAGGGAGGGCTGCTGGAGACATCGCCTCACTAAGCTAATACACATAAACACATACATCCCATAATAGTTTGCCCCCAAGCCAAACAATAGAACAACGGGATGCAGCCACATAACATTAAACAATCCACAATCCCCAACCCACCTATCTCCTAAACATGTATACAAAGTCTTAGACAAAGCACACACAATATTAGGACAGATCACCCTGTACCCCTAACAGGCACAGGGTGATTTACACATAAGAGGGATATGGGGAGCTGAGACAGGGGTCTCCCCATCTCTCCAAAGTGAGCTGAGTTCCATGGGCCCCCCACCTAAAGTGACTCCTGTCACAGTGAGAACCTTTGATTTACAGAAAAGATTCACTCTTATGATGGAGGAGGTGAGTAGTAATGGCTAGGCCTCACTCAGCAACATCCTGGCAGTATTCCAGTCAGGATTCATGAGGAACATAAATGGCCTACACCTATAGCAAGAGTATTATTTAACTTTAGTCAGAGACACACTGTTTGTTATTATCCACAGACAACCCTTATCTGCATAGGCAGGTTTCTGGTAAAGGTGAACTAATATTTTAAAGTAGAAAAAGTGAACAATAGTAAAAAGATGAATCTGTGCGCACTTTGAATACACAACCACAAGTACAAAAACGTAAAATAAAAAGTAAAAAAATGAATTTTGATAGCATATGATGCTAGCATATAATAACAGCTTTATCTAGTTTGCTAAAATAAGATAAACATCTCAACTCTTTACTAAATTAACCCCAATATGTTTGATCTCACTATAAGCATGTGAACATTAAAGCCTTTGACTAATCGATTTATTAAAAAAACAACAGCCCTATCTAAAACCATGTTTTTTTTAACCTGTAGGATATGTTGCTCCAGTGTTGCCTATCAGTGCCTCCTAATCAGTGCCGCCTATCACTGCCACCTATTAGTGCCCATCACTGACGGAGAAAAATTACTTATTTGCAAAAATCATACTAGAAACTTTTTTTTTCAAAATTTTCATTCTTTGTTTAGCAAAAAATAAAATCCTCCAATAGCGATGAAATACCACCAAAAGAAAGCTCTACCTGTCTTAAAAAAATGAAAAATTGTGTTTGGGTACAGTGTTGCATGACCGCGCAATTGTCATTCAAAGTGCGACAGCACTAAAAGCTGAAAATTGGCCTGGGCAGGGAGGGGGTAGGCAAGTGGTTAAATGCATATTTGTAACCACTATTAACCTCTTGTCGACCGCGCATAGCCGAATGACGGCTTCACCGCGGCCGGCCAGTTCTGAGTGGACGTCATATGACGTCCTCCCAGAACGCGCTCTCCTGCGCGCCCCAGGGGGCGCGCACCCGGCGATCTCCGTGATCGCTGTGTCCTACGGACACAGCTGATCACGTGATGTGGTGAAAGGCCGATCCCACCGGCCTTTTACCACGTGATCAGCGGTGTCCAATGACACGCTGATCACAGGGAAATGCAAGTGCCGGTTCTCGGCTGCACTTTCCTCACGCTGTCAGATCGTGAGGAAAGTACTGCCGAGAACCGGCAGTTGTCAGAGCGGGGATCGGCACCGATCATCAGGGCACTGATGATCAGTACCCTGATGATCGGTGCCCAGCAGTGACACCCGCAAGTTCCGCCCAGCAGTGCGCCCACTAGCCCCGCCCACCCGTTCCCAGCAGTGCCCCCACCTGTGCCCAGCAGTGCCCCCACCTGTGCCCAGCAGTGCACCCACCTGTGCCACTCTGCAGTGCCACCTACCTGTGCCCAGAAGTGCCACCTACATGTGCCCAGCAGTGCCACCCACCTGTGCCCACCCACCTGTGCCCACCAGTGCCACCCACCTGTGCCCACCCACCAGTGCTGCTCACCAGTGCCACCCACCAGTGCAGCCCAGCAGTGCTGCCAGTCAGTGCCACCAGTCAGTGCCCAGGGGTTGTGCCAGTCAGTGCCGCCAGTCAGTGCCCAGAAGTGATGCCAGTCAGTGCCGTCTATCAGTACCCATCATCAGTGTCACCTATCAGTGCCGCCTATCAGTGCTGCATATCAGTGCCGCCTATCCGTGACCCCTAATTAGTGCTGTCTATCAGTGCCGCCTATCCGTGCCACCTCATTAGTACTGCCTATCAGTGCCCTTTAGTGCTGCCTATCAGTGCCCATCAGTGCCGCCTATCAGTGCCCATCAGTGCCGCCTCATCAACGCAAATCAGTGAAGGAGAAAAAATACCTGTTTGAAAAATTTTATAAAAGATACAAATAAACTTTTTTTTTTTCAAATTTTTTGCACTTTTTTTAATTTATAGCGCAAAAAGTAAAGTGCCCAGTGGCGATTAAATACCACCAAAAGAAAGCTCTATTTGTGAGAAAAAAATGATCAAAATTTCATATGGGTACAATGTTGCATGACCGCGCAATTGTCAATCAAAGTGCGGCAGCGCTGAAAGCTGAAAATTGGCCTGGTAAGGAAGGGGGTATAAGTGCCTGGTAGGCAAGTGGTTAAACTGCTACATCAAAAAGACTTTTGTATTCCTATGTTAGATAATCCTAATAAATGTAAAGGATTATTACTACCAGCCAAATTCTCTCTTCAAAAAAATAATCATTTATTGAAACATGTTTACAACCATTTTTAAAAGCCACATCAATAATAGGAGACTAAAATTAACCCTTTGTGTTACTTTATAAGGTTTGTATAAGCCATTATCTTTGTCATTCCACAAGCACTGTAAGGACAATCCTTAATGCATATGATGTACATTCACTTGCAACGTACCTTCACACACTGTAATGTCATGCTGGGTGCAATACCTGAAAGCAAGTCATATACACACACACACAATAGACAGGTAGTCACACAAAGGTACTTCTAACCAGCATTTACACCATTACATATTCTACACATGTGAAATACCCTCTACCAAATGAACACCTGCCCTGGCACATCATAGCATTTACTCAGCACTCCAAGAAATAATAGAATCCAACTGCAATATTCTTGCACTGTCAAAACCTCCACTTTTATCACCACACGACATACAGAAGGATATATCTTATACTCCTAGATTGTAAGCTCCAAGGAGCAGGGCCCTCCTATCCCTGTTGTATTGAACTGTACTGTTGCTGTATTGTCTCCCTTTATATTGTAAAGCGCTGAGCAAACTGTTGGCGCTATATAAATCCTGTATAATAATATTAGTCATCAGAATCTGCATAATAACACACACCAATAATAATGTGAGCATTACAGCATGAAATAGACACACAATTTGACAGCGTCACAGCATAGAATTAATACATTACCAAAGCTATGTGAAGGCGAAAAAAGAACTGATTCCATCAGAACCATACTGCACAGGGGGTCATGGGGAAGCCGTAAACGCTACCAATCGATGAGCCCATATAGCCTTGGCAAGAGTCCCAGTGTCAGAGCGTCCTCATCCGCTAGGGGGCTCCCCAGTCGATCCTGTTCAGACTCCTGGCTTTTAAACCATTTTCCTGGCAGCTTTCCCGAAGTGTCATGCCCAGCCACCATATTGAATCAACATCGTTATCTGAAAAGTCACACTTTTGCTTCAGATCAGCTTCTTATCTACCCTAAACTTCTTCTCATCTGCCCTAAACTTAAGATTTCTAACTTCTCAAGCAAGTAGCAGGTTCTTATCTTCTAATGTGACATTACTAGATGTCATAAACACGTTCAATCCCACAAACAAGTTCTTATCTTGCTCTAAGCAGAATATCTTGTGACTCTGTTCCTTTAGCTTAGAGAAATGACATCAGTCATTTCTCATGCTCCTTGCATTTGGACAATGCTTTATTCTAAAAATTACCCAAGAAACAAAGGGTCCAAGGCCAACACATTTCATAGGCCAACACATTTCATAGGCATTACACACACAAATGTGTGTTTATTTGAACTCAGTATTGGACTTTACATTTTTTTTAATTGTGTGTCCTCAGAAGAGTTAATGCCTAATGTCCACTTTGCTGTGATAGTATACAATGTATCCTGCTAACATTAAATACAATGTGTAAAAATGGTTTTGAATGTAATTAAATAAATGTTTAATTATTTATTATTGAGAACTTGACTGTTAGTAATAATCCATTCACCTGAATAAAAATATTATACAAGGAAAATAAGAAAGCCCTGGGATATAGCAACATAATAGTGGTTACAAACCTTGTTTTCTGTTTGTTAAACATCATATGGACCACAGTCAACTCTTCAAAGGCTTTCTTTTCACCCACTATGCTCTTGTCAACTTGCACTTTTAAGTCAAGGCCAGGTCACCACCACTTCTTGTAGTATCTGCCTGATCCGTCCACCACTGTTCCAGATCTTCAACCCGGTCACCATCAGTTGTTCAATACTTCCTCACTTCCTCCTTCTTAAACCATTTATTCATTCCAAGGTGGAAATAGTCATAGCATAAAAAACCCTTAAAAAATGACATAAACCAATAAAACTCACATTTCCAATATTCTGTCTCCCCCAGCACCAAGGTATAGAGCTTGTAAGTCTCTCTGGTCCCAGCTCCAGTGCTCAGCCTGGTGCAAGCTTGGGACGTGTGCGAAATGATGTGGTGTAACTTTGCTCCATAGTGCTTTGTCCCTCTTCAGGGGGCATCACAACAGTGAAATGTGCCAGAATTTTCCCTGATATTATTTAAATAGCACTAACCACTTTATGGAAATAATGGAATGTGCTTTGTTTATGCACCTTAATGTATGTTAATTTGAAGCAAGGCACATAGAATACTTTTTAGTACCCAAGCACTGTAAATTGAGTATCCAGTTTTAGTGGTGGTCACATAGTGGTCATTTGATACAGCAGCTGGTATAAATTAGGGATAGCACAGGTGAGAAATATGATATATTGTAATATATTATATAATTCAGACAAAATTCAACTTCAGTCTAAACCCACACTTCATCCATAATATGTGACGAAAGAAGCAAGAGCCAGTAGTCTGGTTGTGTGCTTGGAGCTGTATGTTGCATATGGGGGGCATCATAATTAAAGGTCATGGAATTTCTGTTGGGCATCTTCTAGCCTGTGAAAATTAGTGCTAGCTGAGAAAGGTCAGTGTCTAGTAGATAGGTGTGTGGAGCAGCAGGACTATGGATGTGCTTACTTCTATGTAGCTATACATTGGAGCTTTATCCAAGTGTCCTTCTTTTAGAAAACTTTGATGTCACCCCTAAGCAGTTGTAAATTCTGTGGAATCTATTTTTTCTCCAATAACAGAGATGTTAAGTATAGTTATTGTTTGCCTTTAAGAAGATAATCCTTAGTATATTCTATCTGTCCGTTCTGTTCATTATCATTGTACAATTGTTTAGTAGAAAGAATGTGCAAATATTTGTAGCACCCTAAATTGCTTTACAGGAGTAGCCTAATAAGAACTGTGGTACAGTTGGATAATTTGTTATGTATTGGCAAAGGTGGTACCAAGAATAGTTTAATATAATTGGTTATTTATAT